TAACAGTATTTCTTTTAGATATAAATTCTGAGCTTTTGAACTTATATATGTGGACTTGAATAAGAGAGAAACAAGCAAAACCACACACACACACACACACACACACACACACGCTAATAGAAATTAGGCACTTTCTGCTTCTATTAAGATACATTTAAGTTGGCTGCGATTTTCTTAATTTTATTCCATTTAAGTTGCATGCTTTTTAACTTGTGGGGAGTGTTAACTTTGGAATTCCACGTGAGGGATGAACGGGAGGCAAAATCAATAAATAAAATAAAGCTGTATTTAGCTTCCCTCTGCTTGTTTCTCATCTATAGTTGTGTAAACATATTATGGATAAAACTGTTGTATATATTTGCATTGTATTTCATGAAGATCTAGACCTCTATATAATTGAGTTTTAACTACGGCTAAATTATAAAACAAACAGAACTAAGTTCAACTGAAGTCATTCCCAGAAAACTGCAACTGAAGATTGGTTTTATGTAGGGGTACAAATTGTTTTAGTTTTGGATTCTTATCACCTGTTTAAGAGCAAGAGCAAGAATCAAACAATTCTTATGAAAAACAAAAGCAACAGCATCAGCTTTTATTACCCAAGCCACACTAAGGACAAATTTGCAATGTGCTTACTGTCTAGAAAAGGAGAATTCTCACCTGGTCTCTCTATCATCCTCCAGCATTTGAAGTTTGTAATAAGAATTTGTTCCTTGGACAATATCAACTAGACCCAAAGTGGCACTGAATATTTTCCCACTTTTTTCAAAAACATGCGCAGAATCTTCCAGACCTATTTACATATATAACAAATGTTAATTCTTTCTATTTGGAAACATTTTATTTTATTCATTTTATTAAATTGAGCATAAAATTGGAAAAGTTGGAGTTTTGATTTCTTATCCACAACGATGATTCAAAGGAGAATTGTAACCCCATAACTGATTTATGGCAAATCATGTTGCTTCTTTCAGACTTCTAGTGCTGGATACCAAAATCACAATTTATTTTACCAAGCATCCATACTCAGAAAGTCCTATCCTGAATAACTAATATATAAAAGCCTTGTTCTAGTTCCCAGAGTGCCAACTTCCTTGTTTTGTGCTAGGAAACATCACATAAAAGATGCTAGGACAAGGGTGTCCAAACTTGGGAACTTTTAAGACTTGTGGACTTCAACTCCCAGAATTCCCCGGCCAGCCATGCTGGCCGGGGAATCTGGAAGTTGAACTCTACAAGTCTTAAAGTTCCTAAGTTTGGACACACCTGTGCTAGGTAAAAAACCAAAAATCTTACTATTGTTGTTTATCTGATCATAAAGTACAATTACACGTACATAGGATAAATAGGGGTATCAATAGGACAGAGGCATTCATATCATCCATGCATTAGAAAAACTAGAAAAGCAGATGCAGTAAATGAAAGCAAGGATATAAGAACATTCCCTGACTGCCCAACTTACTGATATGGGAAAAAGGAGGTAGAATTATTTTTATGAAAATAAAAATACCTGAGTCAGGATCGACAGCAGCCCCTCCTTTAACTGTCAACTTCATTTTCTTCTCAGACTTACTTGTTCCTAGATAATGATGGGAAACAAAGTAGTAATTTCTTTTTCTCTGGGTAGAAAGAAATCATCCATCAATTTAAAAAGTATAATTAGGTAATTATAAAAATGCTCCTTACATTTTGCAGGAACTAATGCAAACTGATCATTTGCTGAGTTACTCTGTCAATTGTATGGCAATCTCTATATTTCTAATAACTTGGTAAATAATGTTATTTAGCATTTGAACAATATGTTTAAATTGCCTTTTGGATTATTGTTAAGCTTTGCAGGGCTTTAATACTTTTAAGAGTTTTTTACTGAATATTTTTTGTTTTAAGTTATTTTAACATTGTTTTAATTTTTACATGATTATATTTGCCTTTGGGGATATTTTAACCAATGAAAAAGCAGGACAACATGTAGAAGTAAAAACAGTAACAATGATTCTCAATAACATGTGTAAAGTTAATTGTAATCCCTCCCAGTTCAGACTACAGTTTAGAATATTAGAATTAAACACAGTGCAGATTATAAATCTTATAAATCAAAAGAACCATTTGGGTTTTGTTTAATCCCTGCTAAATCCAATCACCTACCTTATAGCAATAGCAGTAGACTTATATACCGCTTCATAGGCCTTTCAGGCCTCTCTAAGCGGTTTACAGAGAGTCAGCATATTGCCCCCAACAANCCATCCATCCATCCATTTTCTATATCTGCTAGATGGCTTACAATTCTAAAATTATAAAACAACTGAAATAATTTAAAAACAATAAAAACATCCACAAAAAAAGTACAAAACAGCAGCTGTGATGATTAATCACCTAATAGTAAAGCCAAGTAAAGTGGCCCTTAATGCATTCCAAAGCCCAGGTCCAGTTATAAATCCAACAGGTTTGGGACATTCTAATGTCTGGGAGGAGAATATTTCATAAGGTACAGGTTATAGCAGTTAAAGCCTGCCCTATAGTTCCTGCCAGTTAACACTCTTGACTGACGAGATCTGCAGCATGGCCAATCTGCTGGATCAAATTGGGATGGCTAGAAACTCTCGGAAAAAGACGCCCCCTCAGGTAATCAGTAAGGCTTTAAGGTGACAAGCAACACCTTTAAATTTTTCTATATTAGAAAATGCTGCAACAAATAGCCCACTTAACTGTGGTTCCGAATTGCACATTCTCTTTGACCCGTTTGCTCAGAAGGGGCAAAATTTTGTCTAGTTTTTTGGAATGGATAGATATATGTATTTTAAAACCCTGTTGACATCACCCTAACAAGAGTTCTTATACTAAGATTTAATTTTATATTGATGTGATCTCCTCTCATATATTATCACTTCTCTTTCTTGTAGTATAGTTACTTTAGTTGTGGGATTGGTATTATATTCTCTCTCTCTTATTTAGTCAGAGCATAGCTTTCTATGAATAATTAAAAATACTATTGAATGATAATTTAAAATGTAGAGATTGAACAGTTTTATAAGTACATCAATAAAACTCTTCCTGAGCATTACTATTATTTTTCCTAAACCTTTAATTATCCTGCTTCTCTCTTTTTCCTCTTTTCCTTGTCCAATTCTCTCTTACTTAGCTTGCCAGCTGTGTATCTTTTAAAGACATGCCCACATGGTCCTGTATTTGCTTTCCACTAAAACAAAAATCTTCCAATTTCATTAAAGGGATTGTAGAAAAAGGCTGACAAAATGATTAACAGTTTAGAGCGGTTCTTGTATAAGGACTGAACAGTTGAGATCTAAAATCAGGCATATTTTTAAGTTAAGGACAGAAGAATGATCCCCCCATTTTATATATGAAAATAGATGTGAAGAGACTCAGAAGTGACAAAAGCCACCAAGAGTCATTTGGTTGAATTGGACAGCTACAGAATTTGAATGAACAAATAGAATACTTCTTTACAAAATCCATAGTTAAATTCTGGAGTTTGTTGCTACCAAGTAGGCAAGGATTATCAGTTAGGAAACTTTAAAAGGGAGCTACCTACATTTGTTGATAGTTACTATTCTTGAAGATTTCAAACTACTTCTGGAATCAAAGGAATATTGCTTTAATTAGCTGGAAAATGAATTTTTCTTTTTACTTACCTGCTGAACTTCATTCAGAATGGAATATGCGCTCTGGATCTGCCTCTCACTTAACTTCCCCAAAGGCATCTTCTGGAGATCAATCTAAGAAGAAAATAAATGGTTCCAATTAAAGTAGAATTTTATTATGGGAAAACAATGGAAAACTGGCTGCAAAAGAAGATATAGAAGAAATAGCAAAAAAAAAAATTAACCCAAAGAACAGAAATACAAAGAGCATATAGGAAGCAACTTTATTCTAGTCAATCAATTTGTTTGAAAGGATTTAGCTTAATATACCTGTTACTTTTTGGTCTGCCCAATTAAATACAGTTAAGTACTATAAAAGATTTTTAAAATAGAGATAAATGATCTATGTGCACCTATTTCCAGATTATGTCTTCACATTTTGGGAAACAGGTTAAAAAATATACATTAAGACACAACTTTTTTCTACCAAAGAAAAACCACCATGATATTCTTGAAAGATAAAGAATGCCTGTTCCCATCAAACTGTATTCGTGCCATTATCATTCTGAGAATATCAAACTAATAACACCAAGTAGTTAAGCAAAGGATGAATAATAACCTCAAACTCCACCATGGCTTTCTTCATACTTTCTACATCGAAAATCATCTTAATAAGATCTTGGACAGCCTTAGGAAGCTTTGACTTGGTTCCTGCACTCACTGTCAGTTTCTTGACTGCTTCTTCATCCTATTGGTAGAGGGTTGGGAGTTGAATGGAACGAACTTGTTAAAGCAACATGCACAAATTAAGCTACTTCTTTGCTTCTTTAGCTAAGAACAGAGAATACATGAAGTTCTCAATTGATTTTCGAAAGTTATTGCTACCCATACTTACTAGAATTTTCAGAAAATCTGAACATTTTATATCCACAGCTGCAAGGAAACAATAAATTGGGCACAAAGTTGTTTGCATCCCCCTCCTCTTGTCCTCAAAGAAATAAATTGATTTCTAACTGTAGAGATTCCAGTACTTAGAAAATACCAACTCTGATCAATTGGGATGATAATGTGGCATTGTCCATTAGCTAGTCCTTTGCTGCTGTTTGAGAGGATCTAGTTCAAAGATAGGCAATCTGTCATGCTGTTAGTTTTGGATGACTTTAAGCAATGCCAGCTAACATGGCCAAGAGGATTGAAGGAATGATAATTTAAAAATATCTGAAGGACCTAGATGACAGAACATTTTTGCTTTTAAAAATAAGTGAAGGTTATAATTTGAGGGCCAATCTTTTAACAAATTACTGATACAGCTCTTCAGCAAATGCACATTACAAGGTTATGAAAAGTAAGATTAAACACTACATAAGGTTGTCATGTATTCATTCCCTTTATCAAAGTCACATGTTTTGGTGAAAGGTGGTGCCTCTTTAGAGGTAAACTCTTTCATATGCAAGAATTGAGGCTAGTAAACAAGGGGTTATGAGTTCAAGTCCTGCCTTAGCCATGAAACCAAGCTGGGTGATCTTGGGCCAGTCTCTCTTAGCTCACCTCACTTCACCAGGTTGTTGTTGTGGGGAAAATACAAGAAGGAAGGTGCTTTAGATATATTTGTCACCTCGAATTATTTGTGAAAATAACAAAGGCAGGATATATGATATAAAACTCCAGTTTGGAACATAGAATAATAGGGTTGGAAGGACCTTGGAAGTCTTCTAGTCCCTCCCTCCCAGGATACTTTATACTACTCTAGACAAAGGGCAGTCCAGTCTTTTCTTGAAAATGCCCAATGCTAGAACACCCATAACATCTGGAGGCAAGCCGTTCCACTGATTAATGGTCAGGAGTTACTTAATTTACTTAAGCAACGTCTGCTACATGATGAATTTAAGCTAAGTTGGTCTCAGTCAAACTATGTTTTGATTTCACACCAACCCTAAATATAACCCTATAATATACAAATTAATAGCAATAGCAGTTAGACTTATATACCGCTTCATAGGGCTTTCAGCCCTCTCTAAGCAGTTTACAGAGTGAGCATATTGCC